ACTTGAAGGAGGTAATGTATAAAGTTGGTTTGCCCATCTCCAAGTTACAGAAAGAAGTCGAAGCTGAGGCACAGAACGACCATCTATATCTACCTCTACTCTTAATCGTTGAAAACACCCTGGCAAAGACCAAAGTAGAGCAAGAGAGTCCAGCAGCGCTGCAGCTCGCTCTTGATAATTTTATAGAAGAAAACGGTCGGTTAAATCCGGATACAGCCAAAAGGTATTATACCATCGGGAAAATTCTACGCAAACAGAAGAATTATGATGCTTCTTTGAGATCTCATTATGAAGCATTAGACATCAGACTGAAGCTTTATGGGAACAATCCAGATACGGGCAAGAGCTATTTCCAGATTGGATATGCCCAATTTGGAAAAGGAGATTACGAGTCAGCGTTGCAATCGTTCGAGAAAGCATTTGCTATCGGACAAAATCTTCATGGGAAAATCCATCCCGATGTTTCCTGCGCTTGTTCTATGATTGGAGTGACAAAGTATCACTTGAAAGAGTACGATTCAGCTATGCCAATGCTCCAGCAAGCCCTAGATATTAGCGTGGCACTCTATGGAAAGGGACTCCCAGCCACCGCTACAAGGTATTACTGGATTGCAGAATGCCAGTACGCAATGCAAGATTATGATTCTGCTCTGGAGTCATGTCAACAGGCACTTGATATCAGGTTGAAGCTTCTTGGACAGGAGAGCGAAGAAACACGCAAAAGTTATCGCCAAATTGAATTGATACGAAGACGGTTGAAAGTTTGCGGATCATCTCCCGAGCTAGCAACACAAACTGGTCCTTCGAGTCAACAAAACGTATAAAAGAACGCGATTAAACAACAACCAAATAACTTCAGAATTTCTAGTAGACTAGAATGCACACTTTAGGCTTGTTTTATACGTCGAATTTCGGTCGCGTCGAATGCAATTCAACCAATAGATAATGAAGCTTAATGAGGTTTATCATCTCATTATCTATTGTTAATGAAGTTTATCATCTCATTATCTAATTGCTTTAAACGCGCCCAAAATTCGACGTATAAAACAGGCTTAAATGTGAACTTTCATAATACACTGTTTTGTTGTTGTATTAATTACAAACTTATTTCAGCCAGTGCAAATCAGTCGTGTTTTTATCCTGTCTTTCATTTGTAATACTAGAAAATGAATTTTTTTGACATAGTTATAATAATTTATATGTAATGTTTACAACATGAGCGGCCGTGTTGTATCGGATATACAAACTCGAGCCGAAGGCGAGAGTTTGTATATACGATACAACACTAGACTGCGAGCAATCCCTCTATTTTCCTTCGTTTTATTGTTTCCCGGACTAAGATTGAACGTGCGGGAAAATGGCAAAAAGGGGCGGAGACGAGAGGAAAAATAGGTACGCGACCGCGTACATGTATCTGCGCATTAAAGGTCCAGACACGCCGGACGCGATTCGACAACGCGACGCGATTTTTCGATTTTCACTGACCGTTAAATTTAATCCAAGTTTAAATATTCCAAATATTTAGAAGCGCTATAACATTCTAAGTTACTTGGTCTACATATGTTTCTAACTGATTTGTCTCATTGGCTGTTTTTCAAACTAACTGAAAAATCGCGTCGCGTTCTCGAAGCGCGTCCGGTGTGTCTGAATCTTAAGGTCTGATTCCACGACGGCGAAATTCGTCGCGAGAACTTGTGTCTGCGAAATACGGTGGTTGCACATGAGCGATTGTATTGAATTGTCCCACTTTGTCCGCTTTCGCAGTAAGTAGAAATGTTTCGCATTTCGCCGAGAAAAAAACGCTCGTGGAATCAGGCCTTTACTGCATTGATGGTGCATTCTCGAAATTACATTTTTACAGCAATTGTGCGAAATGGTGCTAGTTGAAATTATATGCCTGCTTCAGATATAATATTTACATTTAACTAGTGACTTCTAAATTAAGAGGACGAGAACCATTTATATCCCGAATCACGGCAACTGATAACAATCATACAAAAATGTTTCTTTTCATCTGGAGCTAAATATCTGCTATTCATACAGTTCATTACTTTTAAGAACAATTTAAAGAAAATAATTAATTAAGGCTGTAAAATGTGTGGATTTAAAGACGTGGGATTAGACGTCTGTACATGGAGTCATGAGCTAATAATAGTTTCTGACATTTAAAACAACAGGGCTACGTTTATCCTATACTTTGTTTTCATAGTTTAGCATAGTTTCAGAGGCCTGCATTAAATAACAGTCAAGATATATACGCAAATATAATTTGCGTGTCTATTTAAAATTTGTAATTGTTTCGTGAAGATTCAACCATAAAACAATTGCCGGAAATGCAGGTCCTGTTTATAAAAACTCAGGGAAAACCCGTGCGGTATGAAATGCATGGCGTAAACATGTCAATCAAATATCTATAAATATGACGTTTTATATTTGCACAGTACATCGTGTACGTTCTTGTTGTAGAACCGGTCAGTATAATCTGCAGACTGCGGACTGCAGACTGCAGACCGGACTGGGTACAAAATGCAGACTGGGGGTATAAAATGCAGACTGAGGATAAAATGCAGACTGAGGATAAAATGCAGACTGGGGGTGAATTAGGGATATTTTACAAATTCCCGCCAAGCCATAGTCACGTGATCGTTCTTGTTGATAATATTAATGTTGAAGCTAGTCACTTTCATCAAAATGGGCCACAGCGATGTAGAGGTATTGATACTATATGAATATTTATATTATTCTCATTCAACCGTAAAACTTGATAACATTAACACATTTCTTTGCGTTTAATATTTGAACGTTTGGTTACGTTGCATTAGATCGGAACAATGAAATCTGGACGTTTTGAGTGTGAAATTTTAATTGTATATATCGTGTCGACTGTCGACAAGCACTCTACTCATATATGTTTCAAAACTCGGCAAACGCAAGCTTGCTATTGGTCTATATATGTATATGAACTTGAATTACAGGAGCGAAACGCTTGAAAATATGAAAAATTGCTAATACAAAACCATGTGCTTGACAGTCGACACGATATATACCATTACAATTTCACACTCAAAACGTCCAGATTTCATTGTTCCGATCTAATGCAACGTAACCAAACGTTCAAATATTAAACGTAAAGAAATGTGTTAAAGTTATCAAGTTTTACGGTTGAATGAGAATAATATAAATATTCATATAATATCAATACCTCTACATCGCTGTCTTCGTCCATTTTGATGAAAGTGACTAGCTTCAACATTAATATTATCAACAAGAACGATCACGTGACTATGGCTTGGCGGGAATTTGTAAAATATCCCTAATTCACCCCCAGTCTGCATTTTATCCTCAGTCTGCATTTTATACCCCCAGTCTGCATTTTGTACCCAGTCCGGTCTGCAGTCTGCAGTCCGCAGTCTGCAGATTATACTGACCGTTGTAGAACTTGTGTTGCTCCAAATCGAGTATGAA